TGCCACCGCCTGGCCGACTCGCTCCACTGCAGGGAAGCCGACACAGCTCTTTCATCTTTCCGATCTCGCCGCACCTCAGAAGTCGCACTCGGCAGCTAACACCTTCCTGAAGGGAGTGGTGTGCCCATCCCCTTATGGGTGGTCCCCAATTTATCTACTCGCCGAAGCCTTCGAATCGCTGGGTAGACGATGAGCTAGGACAAGGCTTGGTTGCTCACACCAGCACGGGGCTAGAACTGCCAAAGCTTGGCAGTTCAGATGTTATCGTTAAGCAGGGGGGAAATCCCCTGTGCCACCGCTCCCTAACTCATAGTCTGGGGGTTGAAGACTTTGCTGTTGGAATTATAAGGCCATTTGGGTTAAATCCTGGGAGGAGATCATACCCCTGACCCTCCAAACTTTGCCCCCATAATTATCTCAATGTCTGGCCAATCCAGGGGCTTCATGGTCCCTGCCAATCACATGGGGTTGTGTGTGGCGCATCACTTGACCAGGAAGGAATTTGAGGTAAAGTCTGGGTATACACAGTCCAAAATCCCAGCCTGAGGTTTTCGGTTTTGCTTTTAAGACATTGCTAGGCAGTGAGGCAGAACCTCTTTATTTGTTTGTTTGTTTATTTATGTAAAACATTTATATCCTCCTTTGAAGGCTTGCATCTGTTTGCCAGGTCTCCCGCAGCTACTGTTTCGGCCTCCCAAAACTTATCTTTGTGAAAATATGTTCAGAGATGGGAGGGGAAGAAGGGGCAAATCTGACAGGTCAGCCTTGCCCCATAATTCATTCCCTTACGTACCCCCACCTCTCTTTTTTTTTGGATAAACTTTTAGGGACGTAAAGGGCGGGGTTCCATTTTTGTCTGGGCCTCTGGAAACGGCGGCAGAGAAGGAGACCACTGCTCTTGCGATGGATACACCAACAGCATCTACACCGTCTCTGTCAGCAGTACCACCGAGAATGGTAACAAACCGTGGTACTTGGAGGAATGCGCGTCCACCCTCGCAACAACCTACAGCAGTGGGGCTTTCTATGAGCGTCAGATTGTAAGTCAACGCCTCAGGCTGTTTAACTTGTCCGCCTGTTGGGGCCGGAACAGAGTTGTGGCCAAATCCAGACTTAGGATGTGGATTCTCCAGTTTGAGGGACCCCCTCCCCCCGGTACCTGGAGCCACAGCAAGGACTTTGGCTGAAAGCAGGGCTCTCTTTGTAGAAAAAACCCAGCAGGAACTCATTAGCATAATAGGCCACACCCAACAGCAAAACTCATTAGCATAATAGGCCACACCCCTGACAGCACCACTCATTAGCACATTAGGCGACACCCCCGTGTTACCTGAAGTGTGGTCATCCAGCCACACCCACCTTTTGCTTCTTATTCTGTTTACCTTGTTTGTTGTCAAAACCCAGGGCCTTTTTTTGTAGCAGGAACTCCTTTGCATGTTAGGCCACACACCCCAATGTAGCCAATCCGAATGAGTTCCTGCTGTTGGGTGTGGTCTAGTATGCTAATGAGTTCCTGCTGGGCGTGGCCAACTCGGGAGCCAGCCGGAACTCCATTCCTGTGCGTTCCTGCCCAAAAATAGCCCTGGCTGAAAGTGAAGCAGTTTAAAAATCCATTTCTGTAGTCCAGGCTACTGTTCCATTACTTATATCAGGCTTTGTGCAATCCAGGGATTTCATGCTCCCTTCCAATCGCATGGGCATTTGTTGCCAGTCACTTATTCTACAGAGACTCTGACATGTTCTAAACTCCCTGTCACTCAGCCCCTGAGGATCCTTTTCTAATTATTAGTTTGTTTTCCATTTAAGGAATTTCTAGGCAAGGCTGTGTCAGGACAGGCAGCACTTACTTATGCCAAATGCTCATAGCTTACTTCCTTTTTGTGGCTAGAAAGCATACAATGTAAACAGTAAAATGACAATGTAATAACCGTTAAAAGACTCATACATCCAATAAGCAGAACGGCTACACAAAACATTTCCGATCGAAAGAGAGGGTAAAATTATCAGAATCCTAAAATGAGCATTAGAAAAAAAAAGATCCTGTATAAACTACATCTAAATATGCGCCCAAACAGAATGGGTTAGTTAGTGGAAATCAGCTGCAGGGAATCTAAAAGGCTTCCGAAAATTGTAAAAAAAAGACAAAAAGAATGGATGCCAGATGAGTCTTCAGAGTATTACAGAGCGTAGGTGCCACCCCTGTGGAGGCCCTGCCTTTGATGCATAGCTACCTAACTTCAGAGCATGGGGGCAACGCACAGCATGGCCTTCAAGAAAAACCTCAGCTAGGGGATCAGGTGCACATGGGAGATGGCCATCCTCTTTTTGGGTGGCTTTTGGCCCTTCCTCAGTGGTCCCTGTTTTGACGTCTGACCCTACAGCTACTTATTCCCCCAACCTCCCCTCCTTTTTTCTAGTTCTTGTTTCAAAAAATACGTTTTAAAAAACAATAAAACAGTGGGAGCAAATCTGAATGAGCTCTGCAACCTAAGAAGGCAGAAGCAAATTCTGATTTGAATAATGTTCTCCTGGCAGCATGGTTAGGTCGGGAGGGAAGGTGGCATGGTATAGCCCAGTCTCGTCAGATCTCGGAAGCTATGCAGGGTCGGTACTTGGATGGGAGACCACCAAGGAGGACTCTGCAGAGGAAGGCCATGGCAAACCACCACTGCTTAGTCACTTCCCGTGAGAGCCCCTTGCTGGGGTTGCCATAAGCTAGAAGCTAAGCAGGTTCTGTACTTAGATGGGAGACCACCAAGGAAGGCTCTGCAGAGGAAGACAATGGCCAACCACCTCTGCTTCTCACTTGCCATGAGAGCCCCTTCTGGGGTTGCCATAAGCTAGAAGCTAAGCAGGTTCTGTACTTAGAGGGGAGACCACCAAGGAAGGCTCTGCAGAGGAAGACAATGGCCAACCACCGCTGCTTAGTCACTTCCCGTGAGAGCCCCTTGCTGGGGTTGCCATAAGCTAGAAGCTAAGCAGGTTCTGTACTTAGATGGGAGACCACCAAAGAAGGCTCTGCAGAGGAAGACAATGGCCAACCACCTCTGCTTAGTCACTTCCCGTGAGAGCCCCTTGCTGGGGTTGCCATAAGCTAGAAGCTAAGCAGGTTCTGTACTTAGATGGGAGACCACCAAGGAAGGCTCTGCAGAGGAAGGCCATGGCCAACCACCTCTGCTTCTCACTTGCCGTGAGAGCCCCTTGCTGGGGTTGCCATAAGCTAGAAGCTAAGCAGGTTCTGTACTTAGATGGGAGACCACCAAGGAAGGCTCTGCAGAGGAAGGCCATGGCAAACCACCACTGCTTAGTCACTTGCCGTGAAAGCCCCTTGCTGGGCTGGCCATAAGTCAGTTGTGACTTGACAGCACTTATATCGGCTTTTATTCAGGCTCAGCTGGATCAGTAGCTGAATCAGATTACAAAATCTGTTTTGGCTGAATAAATACTCGAAAAATACCGAGAAGGTATTTTGGGGGTATTTATTCAGCTTGATATACTGAGCACACACCCCGAACCCTGACCCTCAAATGTTTGCTGGCTCGCTGGGCCTTTACCTGCCACCTAACAGTTGTATCCGCATTTGTCATTAGGTCACCACAGATCTGAGGAAGCGCTGCACAGACGGCCACACGGGAACCTCCGTCTCTGCCCCCATGGTGGCAGGAATCATTGCTTTGGCGCTGGAGGCCAAGTAAGGGAATTTTCCTAGCAAGGCTTGTTCATAAATGGTTTTCTGGGGATGGCTGGTTTGCAATAGCACATCAAGATCTGAGCCCTGAAGACCAACAAGATATAAGCTTTCACGAGTCATAACTTCTTTCATGGGATACTAGTAGTACAAAGGGAGCTTTGATTTTTGAAAGCTTATAGCCTGGGAATCTTTGTTTTGAAGGTGCTACTGGACTCAAATCTTGGTTTCTGGGCGAAACAGAGACGAAGAAAGAGGAAGGATTGGAGTGCTGTGTTTTTCCAACCTCTTTCCTGCCTGCTGTGGAGTTCCTGCGCATCTGCTGTAAATTGGGGGGGGGGGCATATTCTGTGTTGTGCATCTTGTTGGCATTGTGGGTACATGGTAAGACTGTTGTCGCCGGGTGAGGCTCCAAATTATCCCGCAGCTCTCTAATCTACCTATCAAACCTATCTCATTTATTCCGCCCTTTCTCCAGGAAGCCCAGGGCAGTGGGTTTAAGAGGTTTTTATTGTATTGACCCTGCCAACAAAAGTCCGCATGGTCAAAGCAATGGTATTCCCTGTAGTCATGTATGGCTGCGAGCGCTGGACTATAAGGAAGGCCGAGCGCTGAAGAATAGATTCCTTTGAACTATGGTGCTGGAGAAGACTCTTGAGAGTCCCTTGGACTGCAAGAAGATCAAATCAGTCAATCTTAAAAGAAATCAACCCTGACTGTTCCCTGGAAGGCCAGATAATGAAGCTGAAGCTCAAATACTTTGGCCACCCAATGAGAAGGGAGACCTCACTGGAGAAGACCCTGATGCTGGGAAAGATTGAAGGTCAAAGAAGACGGGGACGGCAAAGGATGAGATGGTTGGACAGTGTCATAGATGCAACGAACATGAAGTTGAGCAAACTTCAGAGGATGGCGGAAGACAGGAGGGCCTGGCGGGATCTGGTCCATGGGGTCGCGAAGAGTCGGACTCGACTGTGCGACTGAACAACAACAAAATTGTGTCGTGGACAGGTTTAAGTGTTAACGGGAAGCTGCCTTGAGCCACAAAGTAAAGGTGGGGAATAAATGTTTTAATAAATAAACATCTGTCATAGAATAGCTATGCCCTGACCCGGATGGCTCAGGCTAGCCTAATCTCATCAGATCTCAGAAACGGAGCAGGGTTGGTGACGGTTAGCATTTGAAAGGCTCAGGAAGCACAGGGTCGCTACGCAGAGGGAGGCAATGAACATCTTTCAACGTCTCTGGCGTTGAAAACCCTACGGGGTCACCGTGAGTCGGTTGTGACCTGACAGCACTTTACACACACACAGGGGTCGTTTTGTAGAAAAAGAGCTAGGGGAACTCATTAGCATAACTCATTAGCATATGCTGCACCCCCTGACATCACCGGAACTGTGTCATAAGGCCACACCCCCTGACATCACTGGAAGTGTGTCATAAGGCCACACACCCCGCCCCCAACGGTCCCGGCCGCCGCGGCCG